TTCTCCACCAAACGCTTCAGGGCCATCCTCATGTGAGCGCTGATCATCTTCGTATCCGAGCCAAGCTTGTTATTTGTCATCAGAAATTTCAAAATTGCCTGACGCGACGAACCTCGACGTTCCTTAAGCTCCTGCAACGACGCCGGCAATTGAATTCTGAATTTTGGACACCAATGAGATGCCTACCCTCACAGCACGGACGATCATTTCAGTGTAGGTCGGGTGATCCACCTTCGCGACACGCCTCTTTCGCTTCCTCGGTTCCTTCGAAACCTTCGGCTTTTCAGCAGCGGAACTTGAAGTAACCGTGGCAGATTCCTCCATTAACGCAACAGCACGGCCAAACACCCACTAACCCAATGGACGGCAGGAGGGAGCAGACGACCCATTTATAGTCGCAAGCCTTGAAGCTGATTGGCCAGCTTGTGCACGACCCGCACGAAAGCACTGGCGGTCGAATATTCGCGGCGTGCGCGCAGCGATCTGCGTTTCTTCCTTGAGCTAATTATCACCTTCCTTAGAAAAAGATTCAGCTTTGCTAAACTACTTTTTATCAACGTAAACCAGGTCATAGGCTCCCCATGCTTATGCAAATTTTAAGTCTAAATATTAAGATATGCCTGAAGTATCGTGCCTTAAACGCATTCAACGAAAGAATTTGTCCAAATCGCTTCCCATCCTTCCGGTTTGTCTGCTTACAATTGCAATTACCTTCACATTTTTCACACAAAATAGAAAAACAATAAAATCTAATATATTGGCCACAAAAGTTTTCGGAAATTTTTGCCCTATGTGAAAAAATTTCAATGAAAGATTGTAGAATAAAACGCAACGCTTAAACACGCTACCGCCTGACAAATCTATATTTGGGAAAATCATCTTCATCGTCGGAGACTTAGCATGTTCTTAACAGCTAGCACACCATTGTCGCTGCCATAATCATATGACGTATCAGCGTCAAGGACCGAGTACCCTGATTAATGCAATCGAACGCTTTGACTTTTCAGAATGATTTGCGCGATGTTGGTTGCCGCGGCAAAGGTCCCGCTCCTCGTCACAAGCAAACGCACCCCCTAGCAACTGCTCTAACACACCCTTGATGGTTTCTTTACAAAAGAAGCGAGAACCCTACGAAATTTTTTTCATGTAGAAGATGCGGCAGTTGAAGGTAGACGGAACAATTCAGCTACCTTAGAAAGTCGCCAAATTTGTTAAGGCTCTGTAGACCCGTCATTTTCTCACCTTGGACTAACCGAAAAATCGGTTTCCTCGTTTCCAGCAATTGCAAATTACAAATCAGAACGAAACGAAGGGATCCGTTCTGCTTCTTCTGCTGCTTTATCAAATCAAAAATTTAGGTTCAGAAAAAAATACTCATTTCACAAAAATTCGTCTGTTCCTGTATCATTTTAAAACATGGCGAGAGTTCTTTAAACCAAGAAGCACGAACGACGGCTGAATTGTGATCGGCAGCGTCAGCTTCGACGCATAATCAGGGTTAAATGGTAAGGACAACGTAGGGAATGTCTCCCTCCTCTTCCGGAAACGGCTGACCTCAGCATATAAAAAGATTTGAAAAAGGAGGCTGACCCTGTCAAAGCATAAAGCACCTAGTTCAGCCAGCCAGATTCTCGTATGAAAACCGAAACACAGTAGATGTTGACCAGGAAGCCAGAATGAAACACTGATGAACAGATTTTAGAGGTAGAATGTGTTCATGGTAGTATTGTTTCGTGTATAGTCCTAAGTCGGACACAGGCAGCAAATTTTGAGAACTCACGAGTATAAAGAATAACACAGTTCAGAGAAGTGCTGCTCAGCCAAAAAGCTGAAGTTCATCTCAGGTACTCACACTAGCACACTCACTGTCTTCTTGCCAGTGCCGTATCGCACACACCGCTATCCTCATCTGGCCAGTGCTTTGAGATTGAATAATAATGGACTGCTTGCGTCTCCAACAACTGAAGCGATGAACTTCTTCATTTCTGAGGTATTACTTTTCTTATCAAGTATGTTTTCCCAGATCTGCTTAAGATAAAGATAGCCTTTGCGGTGGCTGTGGCAAGATGTGATGTTAGTTGCTTACATCTGCGTAATGTCTGCTGAAGAATTTACTATGGCTACATTACAAGAAACTCCGACCCTGTAGTATGGGCCAGTGTGCTTGCCAACAGCAAACAGTCACAAGCTGTACTTGCGATTTCCGCCACTAATATTCTTCCACCGTAGTGCCCGTAATCCGTTCAAGTTATCAGTTCTTATCAGTTATTGGCAGAGATATACAGATGAGCAATTCTCTCGTTCCTTGCAGAGACTTTAAGTCAGTCACAGTTATCGCAGTACTTTCTTGTACATATCTTCATCTTCCCATATTTTGTAATTTAACGTATTTTAATTACTTACGATGTTTTGTAAAGACGCCCTTATATTTCTGCTGATAGAAATACTAGTTGTACAAGTTACTAAACCTGACTTAAAGATTATACAAATTTCTCACCTTTCCAGTACTCCTGCACAACGCTGAAGCCTCGAGAGTGCAAAAGATGGAAACCGATTACTTAAAGTTTTCCATATGAAAAGTTAAACGCCATTCCTCAATACGCCATACGAAAAATTTACATTCTCAATACACCAACAGTAACAGTACTTCTGAACATTTCAATACGAAACACCTAGATTTAGATGAGCGAACATTTCACATACGCGCCTGTTTTAATTAGTTACAACTCGTTGCTCAATGAAAGATGTTCGATGTTCAGCTCAGTGAGCAACTCTGACAAATATGCGAAATTATTAGATACACAGTGCGAAGCACATACGTTAGCATACCGATGAAACGCTAACGGGGGCATGACTACAAAACAAACATCAAAAAAGACCATTCGTAAAACAATCTAAATCACAATCTAACAGTGGAACAGAAACGATTCAACTACTGAAACATCATCGAAAGCTAACGAAACTCGTTCTTAGCAAAGTATCGAATTTCAGACGCCAGTACCAGCCATGTCTGAAGCTATGCCGTTAACTACATGAATACGCCTTCGCCTGGGAGACCTGGAGAAAAGTTTTGTTTGTACCAAAGTCGGTAGGTAACGAACCATGCAGCTACAGCCAAAAGAGCGGCAACGAACTTCTGGGCGAAGGAATGGAAAAACAGCACTGTAGAAACGAGCATACAATCCCACACGAGATGCAGCATCGATATGACGACGAACAAAATCCGCAGATAATATGTATTTTGCAAATAAACTGTCTTCGTCGACTCAGCCTCGACCCGATATGACGTCGCCGTCGTCGTTACCTCACCCTCGTACACTTCTTCGTCATCCGACGGCTCCTCATGGCGGTCGAAACATATACGTACGTTACGGTCCCAGTTGCGAAATATCTTCAGCTCTTCGCTGATCACCAGACAGCAGTAGATCATCAGGAAGCAATGACCAGAAATGTCGAATGCGATCCATCGACTGCCGTTCATGATGCACTGTTCCTTGGTGACGAACGTGCTTTTCAGGCAAAATCCACTGCGTCGCTCGATCTCCACGAAGCTCGTCGTGAACACCCACCAAACAAGGGTTGACACAATCAGTCGACTGCAGTGCCTAAACACTGTTCGCAGATCGCCCCTGCAATAAACCATCGACGACAGGTATATAAAACTACCGACCATGCAAAACGTCCATAACCAGCTCCATTTCACGAAGCACACGTTGAACAAGTTCCGCTTGTTGGCCAAGTAATGGTTCCTCGAAAGGGGACAAAAGTCTGCCAGAAACGAACCGCACATCACCGTGATCAGATAAACCCCAACCTTTGTGTCAATGTCAAACAGGACATACTTCCGACATAAATGCAACACGCAAGCCAGAACAAAATTGGAAATTGTCGTTGGAGGCGGCAGCGATTTCTTCTGTTTAGCCCGAACAGGGGACATTGTTGGATTCTCGGAAAATTGGAACAAAACTAAAGCGATGGTAAATGCAAAAGCAGACCGCTCACCACTTCTTGAGGTTCTAAATAACAAAGTTAAAAAAATTATACGAAAAAATTACAGATAAAGATAACAACAGCAAAAAACTAATCTTCTGTTACATTCCCTTAAGCGTAACGGAAAGCGGGCTACAGCTAAAGGAAGGAAGTACGTTAGCATGAAATACTTTGACAGTTACATTCCGTAGTCGAGAAAGACTTCAATTACAAACTCCGCAGATAACGAGGTAACGAGGTGACTGGAAACACATCTGCCGCAGAAACTAGGTTCTCACCAAATATTTGGAAGGAATTATCTGAGACAGCTACCATAGGTATAAAAGGACGAGTGGACTGAACTATTCATTAGTGGTGAAACATTAGTTTCTGTGACACATAAACCATAATAAAGGGCCTTTCTTTCGCCAACAGAGTAAACATCTCATATCCGTTAATTCATTTTCAAAGCCAGCTATTCGTTTTGGTTGGACAGTGACTTTAAATTTTTTTAACGGTTCCGATAACCCGCAAATTGCATACACTCTAGGTGCTATAATGCTAACCATATTATATACTCCAGACATGTGGTCGTAAATTTGCCACTGGCTGACTTTCAGGTAACTTACCAAGAGAGCACACACCAAACACCTGATCACATGATCAAACCATCGCGATTATGATCTACCTCACTTGAGAAAGAGCAACTCACAACTCAGGGTACCCGGATTTACGTGTGCCGAAGCTTGCTGAACCAATAGCATCAAATAGAAGTCTTGAAATGAGCGGACTTTAAACAGCTTATTGCTCTACTATGAGTTTAATATCGAAAACGATAACCGATTTTTGCCTGGAAAAGTTTTTCTGGGTCCGTGGTTAACAACAAAGGCAAAGAAAATAATCCTTATTTAACAATGCAATGTTTCGACCTAAAATGCATCGCGTATGATTAATAGGTTAATAATATCTATGTATCCCGTGTCAGCAAGACATCTAGCCTAATATTTTGAACTGTGCCTTCCGTCGAAAATAAAATATTCATCTTTACTAGGGACAACACCGCTTCGGAGAAAAAAGTCAAGAAGAATGTTCAACAGCAAAAACGAAAGCACGTTTCCTAACATTTAATAGGGAACCATTCAGACAGCTTTGAACTTGAACCCTGACAGAAGAC